ATGGGGTGCGGATCGGGGTGGGATGGGAGATGAGAAGGGTGATGGGAGGGTGAGTGGGTGATGTGCTATGGGAGATGGGAAGGAAAGGTGGGAAATACAGTTGAATTGGAGATCCCCGTGTGTATGGTCCGTTAGCCTTCGTCAAAACAACAGCCGTAACAGACCACCACGGTAGTAAACGTTTATCCCGCCATCTAGCGCGTGATGCGCGATGGAAAACGTCACCGTCACGTACGTTGGCTGGGTGAAAAGGCACGTTCAAGGTTCGAGCGCCACGAAAGGAGGGATACGTCGTATTGTCAAATCTACATTAGGCCTCGTGACCACAATCACCACTTTCTTACCAGGACCATGCGGCTCATCAGTGCGAACCAGGATACTCCCATGTTCGGTTGTCTTCTCGAATCTCGCTGACAGCACGCCTCTCAGCAACGGTTTCCCAGTCCCTCAACTCGGACACGGTCGGTGCTAAAATGTCAGATCTGACGATTACATATCCCCATCCAAGGGCATTGCGCGCTTAGTGCCTCTTCTCTCTTCTCACCGCCCTGTGCAAATCACATATTGTTCGATAGCTTTCTTCGCCAAAGTTACGTGTTGAGAAATCTTTTGAGTTGAACAAGCCGTGCAGGGACTTCTGTGCGCACGACGCGTTTTTCGTTGATGATGGGCTATTGAATTTTGAATCGCCAGCAGGGTTCGGCGCCCGATGTAGGTCCTTTGGCACGCGGAAGTTTCCTGGGGTGGGCGTGCGTTTTTCGGTTTCTCGCTTGGTCGGTTGATTTGCCGGAGGCACGGGCGCGGCGAGATGTGGTTGGAGGTGGAAGCGGATGAACGCGCTTCTGGAAGGAGGGTGATGACTTTAGATGCTGTTGTGTTGTGCTTGCAGTATAGTCGCAACGTCTGGATGACTGTAACGTTTCGCGCGTTCGATCATCTGCTCATTGATCTCTGCCCCGACGTCGACCAGCAATCGAACCATTGATACCAGCGATGCATCGGCAGCCGCCCACAAGGCATGTTCATTGACGATAGCTCCACGTTCGACCAGGTATCGGCACAGTGCCTCGTTCTCCGTAAGCACGGCGTGCGCCATCAGCCTGTCTTCTGTCCACCTCCAGTGCTCCCTGCGACCACTCGATGGGAGCCGCGGTGTGACACGCGTACCGTTCTCTACCAACATGCGCACTATATCCAGACGCCCTCGTTTTACAGCTACTTCCAAAGTATCGTTGTCAAGGACCCTGGCATCCGCACCACGATTCAGAAGCAGGCGAAGGATTTCCTCGTTGCCACCTTTGATGGCTTGTTCAAGCAGACTGTCAGAACCAGTGTAGGAGGCTTCAGCTCCTCGTCTCTTGACATGCGCCTTCTGTTTAAGTAAAGCTCCTTGTTCGAGAAGTCGTTCTGCCACATCGACTCTTTGCGGGCTCTTCCGTGCGACGAGGCAAAAGAGTGTGTCGTGTCCAGGATGGACGGCTTCGATACCATGGGTTTTCATCGGACGAGAGGCTATCAGGCCAAGGAGCTGAGTGACGAAATCGGCCGATGGACTTTTGAAGACCCCGGACACCAGTGTATGCTGACACAAACTGTGAGTGCGATATGGCCCCTTTCCGGGCAAGTCCCAACGCGGCTCCATGATGAACCTCACTACGTCCAAATGGCCCCCTTTCAATGCAGCCTCAACGACTGCATGTCGAACATATCTTGACTCTTGTTGGAAACTCGGATGCAGGAAAACCTTTTCGAGTAACGCCGTGTTCCCGTTCTCAGCGGCAAGAGAGGCAAGGTCCTGTTTACAGTCTATTGTAGATCGTCCATTTTTACGCGTTCCGCACGGATTCGACCAGGGATTGAGACAGTGCGATATGATCTCGTCCAAGATGGGGTCATTGAGCAGAGAGTTTACTCCCTCTGGACAGTCGTTGAGTATGGCCATCTCCAGAAGGCATGCTTGATCGTACATCCGACACTGAATTGGATCTTTAGAACGTGCTCTCGACAGTATGCGCACTGGATTGCAACAGAAGGCATGGATATATCGTCGCAAGATCGTGTGTAGTGTTTTCTCGTTAGTTTCCTGGGGATGGCTAATCCGGCGAAGACGCTCGGCGGCGCGATATATGTGTTCGCATATCTCCATATGGGCCCATTTCTTCCCTATGATCTTGTTGGTGAGGAATGTCTGCCAAAAGGCGACAAACTCGGGCGAGTGGGAGAAGCCAAAGCGATATCCATGTACGTCGTCCAGTAGCTCGGATTCTTGGAGCGCATCCTTCACTTGTTGAGAGAACTCCTCTGCCGAAGAATTAGCAGGCTGCATTACAGCTGCGCGTTAATTACTGTTGCATACTGTTCACCAGCCTCAATCGTAACCCTCGCTTGAGACCTCGGACGTCGACGGCGTGTATCAGAACTGTGCGCAATATCTCTGCTGGTAGTGCAAGGAGGTTTGCCATAATGCTAATGCGAGTGGCGGGGTGGTGGGGAAAGATGGACAGGCAGGCGGAATGTTCATATGGGGATTGCGCAGTTGTACTTGCCTTTATGCATTACGCTAGACCAGTTTCACTCCAGGCATCAGGCAACAGGCAACGCCACCTGAAGCCACAGATCAGAAGAGGTACGGCACGGGCGAATGAAATACACTTACGCGCAATGTTTCTGGTAACTATCGTGATGCATTCGAGCGCATTTGACATTGCGAAGGTATTTGACTTGGATCGTCTCTTCCGACTACTGTACACTGCATACGTATGCGCAAGCTCGTCGCTGCATCGCCTCATACCCGGACAGTCCTGAACAGATCCGCAGCTTACATTGAGATGAAAACATGCAAAGTAGTCAACTCAAGGCCAATGTAGGCTCCAGGATGATCGAACTCATCCATCGTTTAGTATAGTAGCCTCCGGCATCTCTGCCTTCCAGTCCCTCACCGCCCTTGCGATTGACACCTCCGTACCTCGATTGCTCTTCATCCGCTCACAGGTGTAGAAGTAGTTGGGCCAGATATGGCCATTCTTGTCCGCCGAGGTAGCTTTTGTCAGTGATTCCATGGGAGAGAACGCGAGAAGTCTCATGTTCGATCCCCGATCGCCCATGTATCGCACGATGCTGTCCGCTCGGGCCTGGAACGCGTAGCGCTGCTCTCCGCTCTCGAGTGATCGGCGGAAGAAGCGCATGAACTCTCCTTGGCGGTGGTAAGCTTTGCGGTAGTTGGGCGGGTTCGTCAAGCGTAGTAGCCGTAGGCTTTTCATGCTGGCAATGGCGCTCAAGGCGTTCTCGAACTCGGTTGATTCTGAAGATAGAGTAATCTTTGGGCTGAGGAAGTCGCCCTCTGGAGTATCTGGGTCGATCTCGTATAGGTTGAGGCAGAGTTGCTCGAGGCTTGGACATGCGATGGCGACCTTGCCCAGCTCTTCCGCGCTCATGCATTCGGTGGCATCTTGTCGGTGGACACCTCCGTTGACGACGAGTAAATCCGTGAGTGTCTCCCCGTGGTTGATGATGCCATCAATGTCGATCTTGTCGCAGTTGCCGCACTGGTAATGTAGCTGGCTCAGTCCGTGGAAAGAGAGTAGAAACAACTCTAGCTGGGAGCGAATGTCATTTGACGCGTCCTCATTCATCTCGAGAAGTCGCAGCTTCCTCAGAGAGGGTTCTCGCTTCTGGTATACAGGGCACATAGCTTCCAGCAGCTCAGCGACGCGTTCGGTACCAACGAGGACGAGTTCGGTGAGGGAAATCATGTCTATCCGTTGGAACATGGTGCCAAAAGTCGCAGGAAGGATAAGAGGACCGATGGAAAGGCAGCTTAGTTGGAGGCTGACCATGTCCGATTGGGTCGTTTCTGATCCACCTTGCGAGACTGTAGATGTTGTATCGGCCCCGAAATGACCTTCCTGCAAGCTCACCCGCGCTGTCGTCGGCATGACAGTTTCGCCCTGCATCATATGGATATGCGTCAGCTTAGGACATCGCACCCATAGCTCCCGAAACTCTCGTGGGGTAAGAGTATTTATAGAGACTACCATCCGGGTGAGGCCTGATAATGATGAGCCAGTCCACGGCGATTGTAATATCTGCGACATCTGGGTACCAGGGATGATAAAATGTTCGAGTTTCGGGTGTATCTGGAGTAGGAGCTCGAGCGTACTGATAGGCACGCCGCTTCCGCTCTTGAAACCACATAGTTGACCGCGAGGGATAGCGGCCAGCAATCGTGGCAATTGGTCCGCTTCTTTGAACGCGTTCGGTCTGTCCAGAAGGTTGATTTTGCGGACGTGCTTAACGATGTTTGAGGCGGGAGATGCTAGACCTAGCACATTTCGTGAGCCAGTCTTGGCCAGGAGGTCGGTAGTAAAGATCTCCCACATGATTGGCATCACTACGACCGCCCAGTCTCTGCTGAGTAGCGACATGGTCTTTCGGTCCTGGAGCGCGGGTAGGTATCGCACCACTGCGCATTTCAGCTCCGCGGGCAGTCGGCCAATATGATCTGTCGCCATGTCGGCAGAGTTTGCAGACTACAATAGGGTAAAACAAGCAAATCTGAAAATCTGGTGTCGATGTAGGCTCCAGGGTGTTCGCATTATGCTTTGATCAATGTGTCGGTGGGCGCCGGTACCTAGGTAATCTGGGTGGACCGCGAGGTGTCCGCGATGTTTTGGGCTATCGAAAGTATGTAACCGTGAGGGCGAGGGCGAGGGCGGTTGAGCGACCAAGGGTAATGCCAAGGCTCGGTAGTGCGATATCACCGTGAGAGCGGTGTTGTGGCTTTCACTATCCCAAGGTGAAAGGGCTTGACGCGCAGTAGCGCGCTCCAGACGTAAGCACGGTGCCGGGGGAGTAGCCGCCCAGCCATTGTCTTGTAGGTGTCTATCACATGTAGTTTTGCAAAAAAAGAAATGGCTGCTGCCCGTAGCTGTGTCTTCCCCACGAGCTCAGGGTTAAAGAGAATGGACAGGAAAAAAAAGGCAAAAAGAAAATCGTGAAAGCTCTCCAACTGGGAATTGAACCCAGGTCTCCCGCGCAATTGTCAAGAGCCAGAAGGCCGAGATGACAAGCGGAAATACTGACCACTATACTATTGAAGATTGTTGTTTCGATGAAAGAACATACCTTTAAGCCGGACATATTACCGTCATGCGACGCGAGCGAGGTAGCACGCCTCCACTTCGACAGCGCAGTTGGAAGGTGGTGACTAACGAAAGATTGCAATGAGAATTTTTGGACTGTGGGGTCGAGATTGTGGCGGAACAGATTACAGGTGGGGCTATCCAACTCTTCCTAGAATCGCAGGAGCGATTGCTCAATGCAAGGATGTGTCGATTCAAGAGCTTACTTATCGGCGAAGGGTGTGCAGCACATCGTAAGTAGTATCTTAAAAGAGGTCGACACTGTAGCCTGATCTTATCATGAACGTTTCATGCTTGATGAGGAGGACAATAGACTACACGATCTTTTATTAGCGGACTATGCGTCCAAGCTGGCAGATCTCGTCGCAAATGCGAAAGAATGAGCTGTGATCTGCATGACCATGACTATTATCGGTACGAGGATTATGCGCGAACGTCTACAGACTTATTTAGCATGAGCTTAGAAGATTAGGAGATTCTCAGATCATGGACTGATCGTGCCCTGTGATACCTACCCCGGGTCTTAGTATATTGGAAAGTGTTCGCTTTATCTTAATGTAGGGAGACTAGAGGAATTGAAGTACTTGTAAGTAGCGCTCACGAAGAACCTTTGGTGGGAGAAGTGAGGTTGCGAGATGACGATCTTCCTGTCTTAGGTAATCTGGCACTTAGCATCCTGGGCTGCTCGCGCGCCCAGCCATCTCTCACACCCTTGCTCAACCTACCTAGGTACTTTACACTTACACGCATCCTACACGCCGATTTCTGCGCACCGTGGTGTACACGCTGCGCGAACAATATGCACCATATCCTACGCGCAACACAACCACCAGAATCCTTATCGCGCATCACGACATTTGAGCATCATCACGACACCATTCGTCTAACCCTGGAATGGGCTGGGTACCCACGCGCAGAACGCCATAATGAAGACATGCATCCTACGAGGATGCTGGAGAAGACTTGCAGCAACATAGCTTGCGGGTGGCGTATCATTGCAGCTTGTACTGGTGAAAGTTAATGTTGCATCGCAGTACAACCTCGGAAGCCTCGGCCCCTCTACTCGTCCTTCGCAGTCCGATGACCCCCAACCACGTAGATCACTTGCGCCTCACGATCCGCAATACATACAAGGAAGAATAGATGAGCAAGCGTAAGGCTTTCAGAGCACGGCCTGGTGTTGCGTCAATGACTTGCCTGATGCTTCATCGATTGCGCTTGGTTACGAAACGTCGGCATCGTACTGAGAACACATGCAAGTATGTCAAGGGAGTATACACGGTCTGGGACGTGCGACACACGTGTCTTTCAGTCTGTGTTCCTCTTGATTGTGCGTTCAAAGGTTTGTCAGCTTGCTGCGATGACACCAAACCTCCTATGAGCTGTATAAAGCGGTTACAATTACCTAGCAATGGTGGCCTCTTCCTATATTTCTCAGTCGACGTACAATTTCCATAGTAGGCAACGTTACCCGAAAATCAGACAACAGCGCAGACCTATATATCATGTTAGAAAGTATACAATTATTAACAAATCATAGTGTTTATGTAGCAACACGCGACACAGGTTCGAGAGTTCGTGTGCTGCTGGACGTCGCAGCTCTGCAAAAGCTTTTCATTATTAGTAAACTTGGAAGTGAACGCTGGGTGCACGGTCCCCGGTTGCTTCTGCCTACGAATACCACGAGCTCCTGCCTGCAACTTTACCCACCCACCTGAGCACTACCAGCAATGAACTACGTTGAGAATCCTCAACTGCTACCGAATATGGCCTGCGCACCCAACTTCGCGAGTCTTCCCAACGAACTGAAGATAAGCATCTTCTCTTACATCAGATTAAAAGAGGAACAGGCAGCTGTTTGTCTTGTGAGCCGCGAGTGCAAAGAGATCATGGCGCCCCAATTGTGGTTTTCGCTCGACCTAACACCCACGACGATGTCAACCGCGAAGACAATGGCCCTTTTAGATCCGGACAACCGTATACTTCACCACGTCCGTCGAATTTTAGTTTACCACGGCCCACGAGATTCGCTCCGATGTCACTCTCAGGAGTTCGAGTCTGCGATCCAACTCATCATAACTGCATTACCGAGAGACACTCTACTTTCTTTCTGTACGTCAATGAATTTTGATCCCGGGTTTTTGCTCAACCTACTCCGCCATCAGAGGACACTTGATCGTCTCGAGATACCTACAGGATTATCAGACCGGAACCCAATGATCGATCTCCAAGTTTCTACGCATGCGTCCTGGGTTTCCGCTGCGCTGCGCGAATTGAGGAGGCTACAGGTACACGTTGGCTCGGTGGATTGCGCTCACGAAAACTGTGCATACTTGCTAAGGAACTCTCCGAAGCTTCGTCAACTCAGCATCATGCCCGAAGAACCTCTAGTACTTACTAGAAGTTACCACGAAGCTTCTCTCGGTAGTTCGAAGGGATGCGACGCTTTTGGTGGACCATTTGCAGACGGTGTTGTTGTGCAGCCATTGCAGCTAACACACTTGCAATTACGAGTCGATTTGAAGCTGCCTCGGCCCGAAACTATACTCGCATACATCAATTTCTCTGGACTTCGATCGCTCTCAATCGACGCTTGTGGGCACGTAGGGCCATTTCTTGCAGCGCTTGCGGCCCAGTTTTCTCAAATCTGTAATCTGATCGGGTTAGAGATCGTATTGCGAGGCTTCGAGATCACCCCAGATGAAGACGTTCGACTAATTGAAGATGTGCTAATGTCCTGTTCGAGTCTTCAACGCCTCTGGATAAGCACAGGACGGGCCAGAACGGTGAATACCTCATACATCGTTCGACATGGTAGCACATTACGAGAGCTCGGTCTGAGCTTTAATCCGGAAGGCTCGACATACTATTCCGCACAAGATCTGTCTCTTATCTTGTCATCCGCTCCGTACCTAGAGCAACTAGCTGTACACATATCTCCAATCGAGATGGGCAGTTCACAATCTCTCGGCACGGATTTTACGCTCGCAATACCGAGCTCTTATAATGTACCTAATGCCTTGGAAGCATTCTTGGTAAGTCCTCGAAGCCCAAGATCGGTATCGAACAATCTGATAACCAGCGACAGGCTTGTATTGCGCGCCATCCAACACTCCGAAATTTGCGCATGATTTCGCTGCCGAATATCGACTACGGCCTTTCACCAAACCCTACTTTCCAGAATCGAATTAGCATAACTGACGAACTCGTGCCTAGCGCAGCTATGACCATGCAGTCGCTTGCTACAGCCGTCGTCCGTTTCCTCGACAAGCTTGGCTCGGGTATAACATTGTTCGGGTTTTCCGCCGAGTACATGCCTATAGCCCGACCAAGGAAAGATACCAACGGCCATCTATGGCCCCGGTATTTCTATACCCGCGGTCGTACAATCGATGCAATGGGTGCAGGGAGAGTCGCGGCTGTTCCTCTGCCGGCTGCGGGTCTGCCCGAAGACTCGTGTTTTAGTCGGTCTTATGTGAAATAATCGGGCTTCGAAGCAGTCTGTCTGAGACTACGAAGAGTGGGTTGGATTGGCAGATAGTGCTTGAGATATCATAGTTGTAGGAATGATTTAGGTATGCGTTACGCCTGAGGATCTTCGCAGATGCCTCGTTTGCAGGTTAGACATGATTGGGAAGTCACTTTCGTCTTGGACACTCATGTTCATTGTTCGTAGTTTAGCCAGGGCAAGGCTTCTCGCATGCTTGCAAAGGTCGAGAGATAGATAAGAAGGCGGCACGCGGCTGTTAATCTAGCAAAGCAAGAAGAGCAAGAAGTACGAGGGTGCGATGCCTAAGTAACCAAGATCTTGCGCGTTTAAGACAATGATAGGATTAGGTACCTATAGGTGGAAGGCTGGTGTCTAGTGTATTGGTAATGGAAACAAGAGTCGTAAACGCCTTCAATCCACTGAGAGAAGTACTAGGCGTCCCCTCGTAGTCTGACATGTCGCAAACAATATGTCCAGGCGAGATAGACATCCTAATCTTGCATAACGCGGGCGTCTACATCTTCCCCAGCGCCAGTGTTTAAGACTCGGCTGCGCATATGAAGTCTCAAAACCATCGGCGGTCTCCGCGATTAGCAGCCCCAACGAACATCTGCCAGTATAGTTAGTATAGTGTATACGTCGTGAGGGCATCAGCTTACGGTTTGCAAACAGCTTGAACGAATCTGCGTTGTTCAGTGCCTTCCTGGAAGACAGCTTAACGGAAGGCCAGTAGTCATAAGCCCAGTCCTTGGTACCAGGGCTATACACCTCTGAAGAATGCGTCATCTCGTGCAGAAGTACAGTGCCCTGATCCTTGGCTGAACATTGCCCTTTCGCTACTGCCGGCAGGTCCCAGTAATCAGCGCAGAACGTGATGCCGAGACCAAGCCGGGCGTAGTATGCAAGATTACCGTTACAATTGCCGATACGGTCATGACAGTAGAGATTCAAGCTTGCACTAGGATTAGCGCATTCTTGCGCTATTGCGGTGTATCGGGCAGAAACCGCATCTTTCGTAGCTTGTGTTCGCGAGTGGAAGAAGGTTTCGAGATGGCGGTGGCCGGCTCGAGCTGCAGCTGCAGCTCCCAATGCTAGCTTTTGACAATTCTTTTGTGCCTCGGCGATTTGATCATTCATGAAAGCTATGAAGCCTGCGTCAGCGTTTGTGCGAGTCTGTGATGGAAAGGAGTACGTACGTCGGCAAAAGTAGGGATCGGCCCAACGTTCGGCTACTGGCTTGTGAGTAGCCGCTTCGGTACCGTTGACAGTGATGCTGAGCTTGTTGGAGCTGTATTCGAGATGGCCAATAAGCTCGGTCGAGTTGGTGTTGGCGTATTGCAGCATGCCGTTTGCGAACACATCGAAGCTTCCGCCGTTGCTGAGATCGTGTAGAGAGGCAGCTTCAATCGTCAACTCTTTCTTGTCTCCAGCTCCAAGAACAAGGAAGTCGTCTGTGGATAGGTTGTCGGTATCAAGGTGAACCCCGCTGATGCCTTCGAAAGGAACCTTGATAGCTAGATGTAGGTCAGTATTAGTTTGTCTTCAGTCGCGTTAGATTTGGAAGGTCTAAGTAGAACTTACAACTGTTGCTAGCGAACATCGAGATGCGCTCGACGGGTAGCTTCTCATCGAAGAGAGTGGCTCTCCTGAGAAGGTTCAAAGCCGTATCGCCGTTGTTCGTCACTACGACCTTGATGGCGGAGTTACCCGCGGCAGTGAGCTGAACGCCAATCGCCTGGCATTGAGATGGATCAGGGAAACAATCCACTACTTGCCCATTTAATGAGTAGGAGTTGTAAAGCATGTCTATTCGCACAGTTAGCATAGTCGATACGGTGTGGGCATATGAGCTTACCCTGTGCGAACATCACGAAAGAATCTGCATTGTTCAGCGCCGCCTCGGTCGTCTTTACTCGCTCCGTCGTGTTATGGAAGCCATAAGCCAAATCGAGCGTGCCAGGATAATATATCGCAGGACTGTGCGTTAACTCGTGTAGAAGTACAGTGCCCTGGTCCCCGTTTATGCCTTCCCTGTTCACTAGCGGCATGCCATAGAAGGAAGGGCAGATCGTCACAAAGCTGCCCACACCCGTATAGAATGCCACTTCACCGGCCTTACACTGGTCGGAATTCCAAGAACAGTGGTAACCCAGGCGTGGCTTGGTGCATTCCTTTGCTATTGCGTGGAAACGGGAAGCAACATACTCTCTGATTTCTGACGAATCCGAGTGGAAGTAGGCCGGGAACCTGGAGTCTTCATATGCGGCTTCGGCAGCGTGCGATGCTAGTTCCACGCACTGACCTCGTGCCTTTTGAATAGCTGCGCGCTGCCAACCTGTGAAGCCCAAGTCAGCGTTTGCGTGGATCTACGATGGTATGATGAAGGGACGAGTACGTACTTTTGCATTGGTCATCGTAATAGCGCTCGGCTACTGGCTTGGGAGCAGCCGCTTCGGTGCCGACTGGCGCGGCATGAATGTAGGTGGCCAAGAAAGCCAGGAAAGCCAGGAAATGAATAATAGACCACTTCATTTTCGAATGGAAAGCTGGTGGAAATGTTTGGAGAAGATTCGGAGTGAACTGTTTAGAGTTCTACTGGTGGAAGCGAGTCGTCTTATAATATTTCCAAATCAGCATATAAATACTAGCGTAAGCAAGGGATGGATGGGGTTTTTGGTTGAGATTTCTGCAAATCAGCTGAAGCCAAAGCCCAAACTTACTTGCTCTCATGACGGTTATCATTTGGAAATACCGACCAATCTCGTCAGAGATGTATGGATTGCAGGGAACGTGAATGGTTCGTCGCGCGTTGGTTGTTGCAGTACCGTGGAACGGGATTGAGGCTGGGAAGCGATCGAATCGCAATCATGGTGTTAGCATGCGACACGTTGTAGGCGTACGTATCGCCCTTGCGATGAATGACCAATCCGACCCAGGACCAGACCGCAGTCTGAGTTAAAGGCGCACTCTATGGCCAAGCTCGTCGCCGAAGCGACCCGCAGACTGCCCATGCGATAAGGCTGTGTCGTCTTTACCGAGCAGTTCGATGGACCCGAGGTAGCGCAGATACGAGGCTGATGTTGAGTCGGTAGAGACAAACGTTGAGAAGTGGAGAAGGCGTGGGTGGATATCTTGTTGAGCGAAGGGGCGAGGTCGGCCCTTGCCGTCGCGGCCTGATGTATCGAACAGCACCTAAAGGTAACAGCAAACCACTTTCCCACTTCTATCCACTTTCCCACTTCTACCAAGCTTCTCTACCCATTATATTGTCTGGGAAGTGCCACGCAGCGTTCCTTCGTATTCGATATTCATCCGTCTCAAGTACCCTCTACCCCTAGTGGGACGTATCCTCATCGCTCGCCGGCTGTACCCAACGGGGACGACGGGAAGGAGAGATCGCAGGTGCCAAAGCCTCCTGCCCCGGCTCTAAGGACGACCGTGAGCTTGTCCATAATGGAAACACTCTACCCCCTCCAGACATCGGACTGGCAGCTGGAAGAAAATACTTCGCCGTCGAGCAAGGGTGTCAAGCTCGGTCGCCCTTGATCTTCTCACTCTTATCCCAATTCTCTCTAACCTCCTCCAGATGTCGTTCTGCACATCTGCGATGTCCCAGAGGCGACCCAGAGAAGACGAGCCAACCACACCTCCCGCATTTCACATGATTTCTATGCGAGGAGACGCTCAACGAAAGAGTGAATTATCGCATCTCCAAGAACCTCTGTGTAGTCTCTCGATCTTTGGACAGCCTCCTCTTGATCCGAATCATCAGCCCCACCGACGACCACGGTACTGCGGTGATGCGCCAGATCCGCATCACTCCAGCGAACAATATCAAAGCTATCGCAATCATACCGTATACCAAAGTACCATCTTAATGAACTGCCCGAAGGACTAGACCGCAGTCTAATTCAAAGGCGTACTTTATTCATTCCTCCTCTTGATCAACGAGTTAGGACAAAAGGACTGGATGGAGAGGATCGAACGAACGAACAGTTCATCGTGGCTGCAGCAGCAACGCTCCTTTGGGTAGCTATAAAGGCTAGTACGAAGCGAAAGTCGCGTCTCCTATCCTCTCCGCTGACATCGTCGGCTGGGTGGACTAGTCGTCACTCATGAGTAGCCGGGGAATTCACCCAAGAACAAAACTGCGATGAACAACCACATTCACTACGAGCCTATCCGTGTCGCACACAATAATGTCGCCAATATTTTTCCACCTGTGGAATGGCAGAGAGCACGTTGTGTGGTTGCGGTAGAATGGGAAGAGAGCAGAGAGCAGCATGAATAGTACCTAATGAAGTTCGAAGCAATGCACAGATCTGGATGCAACAGCTCCATTAGAAGAGTACATGGTCTTGGTTACGATACGTTTGTTAGATTACAATACAGTGTATGCAGCAACGCGATACATGGCAAGTGAAAGCGATTATCCTTCCCGAAGACCATCAGGCTACATTTGGTTCAGAGTGTAGCCTAATTGGGACTAGCGCCCATATACGCGACCCACTCGACTGGAAAGAGCAAGCAATCTGAGGTCTCCTCCAACACCCTTCTAAGTAACCCACACTCCGAACAAATCGTCGCGCCTAGCGCCTCCGTTCGCTCGCGATGGCCGGCCCTGGCGTCTCAGCCACATTTTCCGACCTCCCGACTGAGATGAAGGCCGCCATCTTCGCCTACATCCGTCAAAACCGTTACAGAAAGACGGTTTGCCTTGTTAGCCGCGAATGGAGAGACATAATGGGGTAAGTCCCGACTGTTCGGAAATTTATGTGAGAGATATACTAATTTTGTGCGTCTAGGCCCATGCTCTGGAAAACTCTTCTTCTAAGATCCGCCGCCAACTTACCAGGAGAGTTGGCTTGTTTACTGAGCCCAGATAACAGAGTGCTAGCCCACGTGCGCTATATCTCGATTCAAACCGACGTGAGGGGCGGCGTGGAGCTCGAACCAGGTTCCGAATTTGGGGTCGCCTTCAAACTCATTCTTGGTGCGCTCACAAGAAATTGTCTTGTTGGTATCAAGTTCAATATGAGCACCAACTTGCCTACGCTACTGAGCATCCTACAATCCCAGCAAACACTTCAAACACTTTGTCTTCGGACCATTCTCTCCACCGGGAACTTATCTCTTGGCACTAGCCTTACGACACATGGATCCTGGGTCACACCCACGCTGCGCAATATTCAAAAGCTGCGGATAACTCTGCTCGCAAGCGACGAGAACCGGTACAAGCACAGCGCCTTTCTTCTCAAAAACACACCGAGACTGAGGTCATTGTGTCTCGCATGCGAATCTGGTATCCTGCCTCTTCTCCACGACCCCTTGAGTAAGCACGACGCGTTCGGAGGGCCGTACACAAATGGAGAAACTTTCAAGACTCCGGAGCTGCTGAAGCTTCAACTGAAAGGTTTGAACCTCAGAACATACCCCGCATCCATCTTTGCTTATATCGACTTCTCTCGTCTTCATGTGCTATCTATCAGCCAGTGCACGAATTTCGGGACGTTTCTTACGGCTCTAGTTGCCGCGGTTCCACACGCCGCAGTCTTGAGCACATTGGAGCTATCAGTGTATCACAAGCCAGGTCCCATGGATACACAAGCAATTGAAGCTGTGGTGAAATCTGCTTCTGCGTTGCAAAAGATCTGTTTGGACGTGGGGTCAGGTTGTGCGATCAGCGTACCCTGTCTAGCTCGACATGAAGCTTCGTTGCGGCATCTTTCTTTGGTAGCTTCATCCCAATCAGGACCACCACCACACTACTCCAGCTCTGAACTTGGTAAGATACTTAACCAATTGCCAAATCTAGAAGATCTAGCGATCAATTTCCCTCCGATTAGCCTGGGTTCTGTCCGGTTTCTAGCCGCCAAGTTCAAACTACCCGCGCAAGATGAAGCAGATCCTGATTTTGATGAAGTCTCTTCATTCTCCGAATCCTTGGTATGCAAGCGCCTCAAGAGAAGAGATCACTGTTAACGTAAAACAAAGGAATGTATCGCGAAACATCGGAGTCTCAGGACATTGCGAATCTCGACAACCCCTTTCATCAATTGCGAAACAGTGCCGATCCCAAACTTCTCAGAACGTATCGGACTTCCAGAGGAGTATGTGTATACATCGCAGGTAATGATGCAAAAGTTTGCCACAGAGATCTTTCGTTACTTCGCCAAGCATGGGTCCAAGATCAACACCATACTCTTGTCACCGGACTATATGGCAGGAGTCAAGAGGCCTACACGCGATGAAAATGGGCATATGTGGCCACGGTACTTCTATAGATGTGGCTGGACTCGGAGTACAAATGGCGAAGACTACGTTGTAGCTGTTCCGGCAGAAGCGATTGACCTTCAGTATTTCGATCGACCCATCTGGTGAGCGGCCAGGGAGAGACGTCATTGGCACACGGTCACGGAGATTGAAGATATGAAGAAAGCTCGGAATGCTGTCAAAGCACTATCGATGCTAGCAGAAGATCTGGTCTACGGGAGGGATAAGAGACCGGAATGAACTTGCTAGCTAGTCCGAATTGACTGCATACATGGAGAAAGAAGCTCCTCAAACCACTGTACCATCAAACCAAATCCATATTCTCAAACTCCTCCACGAGCATACATTGCCTCTCCTGCTCCTCAATCTTTCCCACAAGCTCGTATGTAGTCGCCACGCTCTTATCTGCCAAGCCCAGCACTTCCCCCTCCTCCGCTTTCATCTCACTATCATACGCCAAATCAAGCATCTCATGCCCCTCAACCTTCATCTCACTGTCATCTGCCAAGTCCATAACTTCCTGCTCCTCCACTTTCATCTCATCGTCACACGCCAAACCCAGCACTTCCTGCTCCTCTACTTTCATTCCATTCTTACGCACCAACTTCCTCATCTCCTTCTCAATCTTCCTAATCTCCCTCTCCGTCTTATCTTTTATCCTCCTCGCTCTGGCCTTCTCTTTCCTCTCCTTCCTCCTCTGGTTAATAGCCTGTCTGGCCTGAACTCTCAGGTCACGGCTCAGCTCTCTTCGCGGCAGAACCTTTACGTCCTTGAACGCAGCACACAGCCAACCACCCACGAAATCTTCTCCCGCACCTCCCGTGACGAGTTCCCCGTCCAGTCTCACCGGCGGAAAACTAACGCTCCGATCCAGTAACTCCGCAGGATATTCAGCCAAAGCAAGCTTCTTGAACCGCTGCGAAGTCTGACGTATGCGTTGCTGGGGTTCCATCATGGGACTCGCAGGAATCCAGTGGAACTCCACTTCGACGCTCTTCTCGGCTAGTTGCTTGGTGAGATGGGGTATATCGTCGACAAGCCATCTATCCCTCACCAACCCGAACGGATGGCCCATCCTCATACTCTTCAGAACGCGCTGCACATCTGAGAAGACGAGCACGCGGTCGATGTGCTCGGTCGTCGTTGGGGTTGCTGCGATGCGGAGGGCTTCGCCGATAGATAAGAGGATGGCTTCGTTTGCGCTGGTGTAGTGTGCGATGGTGACTTGGGCTGTCCAGGCAGAAGTTTTAGGTGAGTTGTAGCCGATTGCGACAGCGCAGGGTTCGTTGCGCAGGTCACCGCTGACGCTGCTGTTGATCCAGATGGCGAGGGTGCGATCTGGAGGCTGCGTGTGGATTGTGCGCGCAAAGGCTGTGGCTTGGGCTTTGGACTTGATGTGGATTGATGTCGCGTAAGTATAAATGTCAGCGCGTCGAGGTTTTGAGGTGAATTGATCGAGGAGGGTGGTGTCGGGGATGGCTGCAGGAGCTGGGGATGTCATGTCGACGTCCATGGCAGAGGTTTCTCAATGTGTTGCTTTGATGAGATACCACCGGCAGTGACTGACGACAGAGACTTTGCGGAAGTTGCGAAGATGGTATGTCGGAAGCTCTGCGAAGGCAGTTACTCAAAGTGCTACTCAAGTAGGCTAGTGAGAGAGTGGAAGGCGCCACTCAGACTCCAATGAATGACTGGACCCTGGTTTACAATCTTACTGTGGGTCCACGTTACTCGGAGTAGAACTCATACGTCACCAGCAGCCTACACCAGAGCAATCACCTTCTATACGAGTTGCGCGAGCCCTGAGTGGCTGGGCAGATAGTCAATTGTGGATCTCCATAGAAACACGGGATGACAGAGGACCCTGGGTAATACCCTTCAATAAACCAAGCACACGCGAGTCAAGGGCAAGTATTGTTGTGTTCTCCCTGATCTCGTGATGATCCGATTGAAATGACGTTGCGTGGTACTTTAGGTGTCAAGAGGAAGTGTAGTATGCGTTGTGCCAAAAGCCCACCTCGCGCATATTTGATGCAACTGCTAAGCTCGATTGGTATACAATGAACTTCCATTAAGGAATTCGAGTTCACGGCGGGCGTGGGTAGTATCCAACAACACTGCATCTTTCTTACCGCCAGCAAATATTTGGACTATTAATCAACATAACAGCGTGTACAGATTCATCTACACTATATTCATCATTCCGCTATGCACAGTTGAAGTTTGTAGTAGCCTATATCACAATGCTGCACAAGCTCCTGTCGCCTTCGCGCTTCGTGACACAGGGCCACCACAGTGAGCATAACAGCACACCATCATTGTCCTGTCTGCTGCTTTCTTTCTCATTCGCATTCTGGTCACAACTACAGAATTTGATCAGCTCACAAGCGGAGAATAGTCAAGAAGTCCTCATGCGTATATATATCTGCTATATTTGTCCCCAGAGTTTGTCTGCATAAACACTACATCACAAGAGCCTTGAATAGATATATCTATACTATATTTACCACTTACAAGTCAAACACATTCTCAACACCATCCGGCAAGCATCTCGAATACCTCATAGCACACATCAGCAGGACTGGAACCCCCTACAACCACAACCACAACCACAACCACAACCACATCCCCAACCAGCCCCCCACCCCACCCCCCAACCATGTGCCAAATGGTCCTAGAAATCTGTCCCCTCTGCAAATTCTGTGGCCCATTGCACAAGCCCTACATGAAGGTGAGTTCTGACCGTACGAAGTGCGTGTGAGACATATACTGACTTCGTACCTCTACCTCTGCAGATAAGACACTCCCTCGAGCCGTGCTCCAACGCAGCAACGGCAGGCCCCTGCAGCAACCCGCCTAATGTAGACCGGCTGGGCGAAGATGTATGCCGACGCTGCATCAACCTGGCTAAAGAAAAAAACAAGCAAGATGACAAGAAGAAGAAGGACGACGATAAGAAGAGGGACAAGGATAAGAGGGCGCAAGACAAGGTGGACAAGGCGGCGAGGATGAAGGCCTGGGCTAAGAGTAATAAGGCGGAGAAAGATGCTATTAAGCGCTCTGGTGGGTACTGAGGCGTGAGGGAGTGGAGGGAGGAGGGAAGAGAATGGATAGGTCTTTGCGGGTTCGAAGTGCTGTTATGAAGAGAGTATGAGGACTGTGTACAGGCGGATATGTGGACATCGTGCGCGTATGGGATTAGCAGAGGATGGGATTGGTTGTTATTCACGGTATAGATTCATTTAGCGATGTCATGGGCGAGGCGAACACCGGTGGGTGTCAGAACTGTTGTATAGTAAATTAGTAATGAAACACATGTTGAGCAATCATAGTACCTTTCACACTATACCAGGTCAGGACAACATCAAATAGCACAAACACCGAAACACCAGATGTGAGTCTTCATAATCTTCATTGCATGTCATAGCACGTATGCCTTCAGGCCCTGTCCTGTATACCACACCTCCTAATATTCCCAGCTTTTGACTCCCGCTTCACATCGCCACGATGGAGATCTACAAATACAAAGCGGAGCAAATCAGATAAAATGCCACCCCAGAAAACGCAAAACTGTCGTGCCCATAGGGCTTTGGGTGGATGGAAAGACACAAAAGACGCTCGCCGTGCTGGAAGCTATGCACAAGACTGCAGAGATGGACGAAAAGGAAATGCTAATAAAGCGCAACGCCTTCGAGGCTGAGGTATGAGTTTGGATTGGCAGGTCCTCCCGCCCACTAAGCGGCAGGCTGGGCACCAAACTCAGCGCCGCCGCGACCTCTGGGTGCGCCACGACCGCGGTAGCCAAAGCCCCGACCACGTCCACGTCCACGGCCACGTCCTCGACCACCCCGGTAACCATCGACGCTACCCTGGCCGAAGGTCTCCATGTTCTTCTGGCGCTCCTGGCTCCTGAACTCTTGACCGCGGGTGGCAGCCTCTTCTCTGTCCTTCAGCTCGCTCGAGATGTTGTCGAAGAAGGAACTCTTGTCGTACATGGATCCACCGGGGATGACGACCTCTTCCTTCTCCGTGGAGGCCTCGCCAGCAGGGACTGCCGGGGCATCGCCCATCGGCGATCCAGACGCGATGGCTTCCTTGACCAGGTCCTGCTTGTTGAACTTTGCGTTGGACGACTCAAAATCAAAGTCGGTTGTGGGCACTTCCATCTTGGGGTGTTGAGGGTGAGCACCACCTCGTCCTCCTCTTCCGCCCCGACCACGGAACTCACCTGTTCCTCGTTGACGAGGCTGGTGCTGGCGGTTTTGCTGTTCGCGCATGCCTTGCACCTGCTGTGCCAAGTTGTTCATCGGGTCCGAGACAGGCGGTTGACCCTGCGGTTGACCTGGTGCCTGACCCTTGTTTTGAAGGTTGAGCTTGGCCATGGCCTCAGCGACAGCAGCGGTTGCTAGTTGAGTGGCGTTTTGTTGCTGGGCAGCGGTGGGCATTTGCGCAGGAGCGGCAGAGGGGCCGGCACCTTGCTGTGCTTGAGGCGCCGCCTTCGTCGCCCTCGGGCTTGGGATTGGTACAGCGGGAATGATTCGACCACCCTTGGGTCCGCTAGGCGCACCCTTCGCGGGTGGTTGGCCGTTCTGGGGATGGGGTGGTGCCAACGCAGCCGATACATCTGGCTTCGAGTCGACTGGTGGCGGGGGAGCCTGCTTGCCTGCTGCAGCCGGTGATGCCTTCGCGCCGTTCTTAGGTTGTGGCTTGGATGATGCACCGTCTGCCTCTGCTACCTTCGGTTGCTGGACCTGACCCGGCTTCTCGTCCTTGCCTGCTTGAGGACCCTGAGGACCCCGTGGCCCTTGTGGAGGTTGGTTTTGGTTCAGACCGGGAGGGCCAATGGGCATGTTGGGCGAAAAGGGACCAGGTGGCTGCTGGAAGCCGTGACCAGGAGGGAACCAGCCAGGAGGCGCTCCGAATGGAGGCGGCGGCATGCCGAACGCGCCTGGTGGACCTCCAGGGAAAGGACCGGGGCCACCAGGACCACCAGGGAAACCACCTGGAGGACCGAATCTGTTTCCATATGCACCAGGGCCGCCAGGGCCACCAAACGGAGGGTATCCGCCAGGAGGGAATTGACCTGGCTGAGGAAAGTTCGGCGGTGGTTGCTGACGACCGGCGAGATCTTGTGGACTGCCCTCTTGCCGCGACTGGGGTTGTTGTACCTGTGGCGCATGCGTCGCGTCAGCTTTGGCTTCGTGAAGTATGTAACAGAAGCAGTTTGGGTATAAGGATCTCAGAAGGAAGGCAACGGAAGATATCCACACGGTTTTGCGCTCTCGGTGGTTTAAATGATTTACATCCGAAAATTTTACATCATCGAAAAAGAAAAGAAAGGGTGGTTGTGTAGGCTTACTCCGATGATGGCTGGGTCCTGCGGCATGGCAGGCTGAGCCTTCTCCTTGACAGGCTCTTCGATGCGCAGATCCTTCACATCGCTGCCTCGGAAGACAATTTGCTCGTATACGACGTCTGACGGCGGGTACTCGTCTTTGCCGCCCTTGCGGCCCTCTGTGCCGAAGGAGCGCACATTGTCTAATGAGACTGTGGAGGCTTCTGAGTTGATCTCGACGAGGGTACCGACATAGCTGGGGGCTGTTAGTCGCGTCGCGCAATGCATTCACGCGATGGAGGACTCACCGGATGTCACTCTTGGAGATGAGAGAAATGCGAGATCTACGCGTCCGACGTCAGCTGGAGCTCCAGCTCGAATTGGAGAGCTGCGACTAACCCGATGAACTCGGACATGGCTGTGTAACGTGGGTATCAAAACGGGTATCGAAGGAATTGAAGCTCAATGAACAAGAAAAGAAGGCGGGAAAATGGTTGGGAAGGGTGCAAGTGGTTGGTGGAGGAGTGAGGGGTGAGAGAAGGTTGGAGAGCTCCGTGGTCGTGGGCTGAAGCTGCAGAAACTTGGCGCACGTTTAGCGAGGCGTAGTCTGGAAGCTTGGAGCCTCGCTCATCCACCTGGCACCTCGGGCTGCCTTTACCCCACACGTACCACCGTTGCAGTCTTCGTCGGGTTGCAACTGCACCCATGCTTTGTCACCCATGAGCTTGTGGACTTTAGACCCTTGAGGTCGCGAATTGTATCACCCTTCCGAACTTTACTTTCTTCCAGGGCTCTCGGGTTGCCCTATCCCCCGCTATGAGCGTTACCGACGATGGGCTAAACGACATCTACGAGGCCCTGGATCGCTACAACTGGGACGATGACATCGAGTTTCAGGCCGGTCTGCAGGCCATCATCGGCAGCAACAGCACGCCAGAACAGACGACCGAACTAGCATTACGGGCGCGGTGTTTCTACTATGCGAGGTACGTTCTGTTCGAGACTTCACCACTACATCTATTTCAACCCAATTGGGACGCGAGAGATGTCTATGTTTCAAGAACGATGTTTACTAAAACCCCCCAGAAAATACAACAAAAACATCGACTTCAACGCCTACAAAGCCTACCGCAGCGCACGCAACCGCCCCCCACCCACACCACCAACCCCGCACAACG